TCTGTGTGAGAGACTTCACTACATAATCAGAAACAGAGGGAGAAGTTTGTGTGGAGCAGCTCCTCCTGCTGCCCCTCTCCCCTCACCACACTCTGACACAAACACCAGTCCTACAGCCCAGGACTCAGGCACCATGCATGCACGCACACACACACACACACACAGACATGTGTGCATTCAGGTGCAGTGTCACTAACTAAAAAAACAATTCAATAAAAAAACTTAATGCTGATGACGGAACAAAGCATTCAAGTAACAGCACTCCGCAGGAAACTCTCTAAAGCTTAATTTACAGTTAGTAATTATCGCCAAACCTCTAAATATTTAAAAGTGAGATACTGAGAGCTAAGTGTCTGAGTGAGTTTTTACTGTAAAAAACTGATCAAAAGCTGTAACAAAGACCGTAAATGCAGCAAATGTAGGTCCTGGCTATTATGAGGAACTAGTGACTTTGTTTGTTTTTTTGGATTAAAAGTTGGGTATTCCAACTTAAAAGTACTATTTCAATTGGTACTACTCTACATATTTAAAAGTGAGATCTATTTGAGCTATCAAATCAAATGATTACTCGGCTCCTCACAGCAGAAGTAGAACGCTTCATTTATTTGAATGTAATTTCAAATCGTTCTACCGGTAATTATTTCTTGATAACCGACCTCTCAAAACAATAATGGCCGCTGCCCATGGCAACGCACCCTCTGCTTGTAATTCAGATCTGTAGATTAATCCGCAAGTAGTCCGGCCACTTCGTCGCTATTACTGTCTCTGCGAGAGAAGTTTTCGGAGATAGACACACTCAATAAATGCAAATACCAATCAATCAACACATTTAAATGTTAATGGGAGAATACATTATACATATACATTCTTAATATACAGTACATGTGTCACAGGTTTAAAAGTGTCTGTTGAGGGGATAAAAGGCGGATAAAATTTTATAAAATATATACAAAAAGGATCGATAAAAGATGATAAAAAAAACCCGCAGTCCACTCGTTCCTCCCCACTGGCCTCCGCTCTTCTCAGTCCCGGGACCGGGCCGCAGTCCCACCAGCCGCTCGCCGACCACGGGTCGCCACCGGGCACCCGCGGGGGAGAGCCGGCACATCCTGGTCTCTCTGTGGGCCTAGCCCGGGCGCGCGCGCGCCAATGCGCGCCTCACCGGTGCCGCTCTCCCCGCTGGCCTCAGTGCCCCATGGTCTCTGGCTGGCGGTGCTCGTCCTTGGCCCGGTCCCGCGTCCTCTTCCTCTTCCTCTTCCTCTGGACTGTCTCTCCTCTGTCTCTCTTCCTCTCTCTGTCCTCCCGTCTCGCAGTGCCCGCACCCAATTAAAAGGTCTTGATTAAAACAGGTGCGGGTTAGGGGAAGTCTCAAGGTAACAGTGATAAAATGCATGCATTAAAACCATAAAAACACAAAACACATCATAAAAATAAAAGCAGTTAAAAGTCCTTTTAAAAGTCCACTTTCCGACACATGCAAAGAGGTTTTCAGAATCATCTGTTAAGGCAAAAATACTGTCTTAATGCAAGAAAAAGCAATTCCGATAAACCCGGAAGTACATTCCGGGACATTTTAGGACACATTTGCAGAGGATTGAATTATGGATTTGGATCTGGATCCCGGTAACATCTTTGCCGTCCAGAAATGCACAAAGCGCCTCTCGCTGTTCATCTTTCAAAAAAGAAATTGGAGATTCTGCTAAAACTGACTTGATAGCCTCAGCTACGCGTCCGTCCTCCTGCGTAGCCATGTCTGTTTTACTTTGGACAGGTGTCCTGCCGAGTTGTGCCGCTCTGCCGAGTTGTGACGCCCAACTGTTAATGACGTAATGAATGATGCAATGCAAATCTGCGCATGCGCGTCTCACGGCAGCCGAATAAACCAAGATGGCCGACAAAAAGTCCGTGAATTGCTTTAAAAGTTAAAATACGAACGAATTAAGTCACGAAGGTCACTTTTAATGCAATTTGAGGCGAGATGTTGATGGTTCCGCGTTGTCACATGTGGCAGGACACCGGCACTTCTTGCTTTCGTCAAACCCGGATATCCCGCCCTAAACCCCCAGACTGGCGCGTGATTGGCTTGAACACCTAGATGTTCTACTCAAAAAGGGTTGGCGGGAGAGGGGCAAGATGTATTCTCGAGTGTTTGTGAACTCACAAATACCGCGAGAATTCAGCTTGCAGGCAAGGTTACACACACTGCTGATGTTCAGAATTCTTTGTTCAGTTTTCATGCCGTTCGATAGCCAGCCTATTGTTACTCGCATAGCCACGGGATCACCAACACAGATCAGAGAATCAATAGTTAAAACACATAAAGAATATAGAACACATTTCAAAAAATGTCCATACATTTTTTAGAATGTTAAAGTGTCCTGGTTCATCACCACAGTCCTTCTAGTTGGACACAAACTGCCCAACAGACCATTGAAATCTTTGCAGAAAAGCTATTATTTATATAGATATTATATGGATAATTTATATATTATGTATACATATTGTATACATATTAATATGAATGAAATGAGACATAACTATACGTCATTCTACTTGTTTTCTCCACTGCTTTATATGGAAGCCCGTTTCCGCCATGTAAAAAAAAAAAAACATACAGAAAGTCAAAATTTTGAGTTTTAAACTCAAAAGTACGATTTAAAAAGTCAAAATTACGACTTTCAAAAGTCAAAATGCGAGTGCAGTGGATTTTGGGCAAGCTGGGCAAGCTGTTTGCTATAGCTTTTATAATACGTTTTTGATGTATATGTCACAGGTTTAAAAGTGTCTGTTGAGGGGGTGTGATCAATAAAAAGGGAAACCGGATAAAAAGGGGATAAAATTTAATAAAATATTTACAAAAAGTCCATTAAAATCATGATAAAACCCGTAGTCCGCTGGGCACCGGTGTCCTCCCTGGCCTTGGTTCCCTCCGGGCCCTTCTCCGTCCCAGGACCGGGCTGCAGTCCCGCCAGCCCCTTGCAGACCACGGGTCGCCACCGGGCACCCGCGGGGAAGAGCCGGCACATTCCGGTCTTCGGTGGGCATAGCCCGGGCGCGCACGCGCCAGTGCGCTATCAATGCGCGCCCCCTCACCGGTGCCGCTCTGCCCGCTGGCCTCAGTGCCCCGTGGTCTCTGGCTGGCGGTGCTCGTCCTTGGCCCGGTCCCGTGTCCTCATCCTCTCCCCTGGCTCTCGTCTGGCTCTCCTCTGCTCTCTTCCTGTTCTTCTTCCCTGTCCTGCAGTGCCCGCCCCCAATTAAAAGGTCTTGATTAAAACAGGTGCGGGTTAGGGGAAGTGTCCAAGGAACTGTGAATAAAATCCATGCATTAAAAATATAAAAACACACAAAGCACATCACACAAATAAAAGCAGTTAAAAGTCCTTTTTTAAAAGTCCACTTTCCCACATATACATTTCGGACTATGAAAGAAATGGAGACGACCCTGCACAACTTTTGCACCCAAGAGATTTTAATTCTCACTACAAACTGTGACGTTTCGGGTCACTACCCTTCATCATACATTTCGGACTAAACATCAGCAATAGCAGCTCACACCTGTGTCTCGCTCCTCCTCCTCCTCCTCCTCCTCCTCCTCCTCCTCCTCCTCCACCTCCTCCTCCACCTCCTCCTCCCTCTCCTCCTCCTCCTCCCTCTCCTCCTCTTCCTCCTACTCCTCCTCCTACTCCTTCGCCTCATCTCACAAGAGTCGCTCGCTGCTGCTCCTCCTCACACACAGATTCCGTGGCTCCATAGAAAGCGCTTATTCCTGTCTCTAACTCACTCGGATTTATCCATCCATCCATCCATTTTCTACCCTTTAATCCATTTCTGGGTCAGGGGGGTGGCAGTCAGAGATGCCACCCAAGTCTCATAGCACCAGCCCCTCACTGACCCTCTGCAGGTGGTGAGTCCACAGGAGGACGGCTGCTCTCTGAGTGTGAGCATAGCCTTGATCTTTCAGTGGGGACTTTGGGCAAAGTGGGGTTAAGTGTCTTGCCCAAGGACACAACGACAGCAGTCATCAGTGGGAGTCGTCACTCGGATTTAGACACAGCTAAAGTCGGTCTATGATTGTAATAATTTACTTTTGAACAAAAAAAGTCACGGAGCTCCGGTTGGCGCTCCAGTACAATCGGTCCGTCTGAAACTCATCCAGTGAGCAACGTTCTGCGGTGCAAAAATAGATACTATTAAAAAACTGGTAAGTGCATTCTTGTTTAAATATTACAATGCCCTGGAAAACATCTAAAAAGTCCTTTAACATAGTGTGGGGGTTGTGGTGTGTTTTATTGTTACTCACCCACATTACCGGTCTTTTTATTCTAATTATTTAGAATATTATTATTTAGAATATTATTATTATAATAATTTATTATTATAAATTCTAATTTATAATAATAAACATCAAGTATTATTTTCATCTGAATGAAGAATAATAAGATGCACTTTTTTCAGTAAGCTATATTTGTTTTCAAGGCTTCAAGGTTTTATACTACCTCTGACAAAGAATGTCTTATTTTTGAACTTTAAGAGCAATAAATATATTTTGTTAAGGAATTCATGTTTTTTTCATTCAGATATGTAAATCAACATGTGTACATTGATATTAGTCAATTAACGGGGCAATTCCAATGTCACGGTGGCACAGTGGTTTGTGCTTTCATCTCACAATAGGGAGTTCTCGGGTCTCCCTCAGTGGAGTTTAGGATGCTCCTGCTGATATTCCTTTTAAAACAAACTGAAAATGCTGTCTCTGCTCATAGGCCTCCATCAAAAGTGTAATTTATAAATCTGCTAAACTTTTCTCTTGGCACAATAACAACAAACTGAACTATTAGTAGTGTTTACTTGCTCACTGTCAGAAAGCAGGGCATATTAAACTGTTCTGGCTCACTGGCTTGTCAGTCATTCACTAGGACAACGTCATATTAAAAGAACAGTTTGGATGCAGGTCTTTACACTAGGCAGACAGGCTGAGAAGGCAGAGGTCGAGGCTAAAGATGAGCTCTGGTTCCTGGGTACCGGGCATGGGACAGGCCTGGGGGGCTGCTGGGACATTGTGGAGAAGACTACATTTCCACTGGACAGCGCGGTAAGACATTTAACGCATTTGTGATGACAACATTGACTTGATAGAAGAAGAAGGTCCTTTATTCGTCCCACAGTGGGGAATGTCAGTTCATACACATATACATACAGTATACACATCAAGGCATGCAGCGAACACTACGTCCGCGCTCCTTATAGGCAAAGTGGGTTACTGTATGTGTCTTGCCCAAGGACACATCGAAAGCAGACATCAGTGGAGTCGGTGGAAAAGGTCTCGCGGTGGGCTTGAACCCACAATTTTTAGGCTCAAAGCCACTGAGCCACTGTTGATGCAGATACTGATTATTATTGGTAGCAAATAAATGCCAGCTGCTGTACCTATCTCCTGGGTTATTGTCTCCAGCGTGTATTGTATGCTCAGATCTTTGAAGTATAGCAGTTGGGCAGAGGGCTGATAGGGTGGATTGCCATGAAGGATGTAAGATGTTTTGTGACGGATGGGTTTAAATACTGTATCTATTGTCAGTCCCATTTTCATCAATCCGTTACCATTCTACTCAACTAAGTAATAGTAAGTAAGTAATCTTTATTTATATTCCGCCTTTTCACTGCAGATCTGAGTCTCAAAGCGGTTTACAATTGTTAATTTTTGGGCATTTGTCTCTCACCCCATACAGAGATGGGAGCAGGGTCACCAGTACAGGAGGCGCATGCCAGACCTATTGTACATATTTTTAGTGGTAGGGGAAACCAGAGTACCCGGAGGTAACCTACGCAGACACAGGGAGAACATGCAAACTCTCAGAAAGGCCCTGGTCCGACTGGGATTCGAACCCAGGACCTTCTTGCTGAGAGGCGAGAGTGCTATCCACTCAGCCACCGTGCCGTACTCTGCTGTATAGGTTTCTTCCGGGTGCTCTGGTTTCCCCCTGTCCTACCAGCTCGGCCTGGATAGAACCAGGGCCTCAAGAGAATAAATAAGGACCAGGTACTGGTTAAACATGGCCAGTGTAAACACTCCCAATCAGGGGAGAGTATAGGTTTGGTGGAAACAGGGCTTCAGAAAATAACCTGACGTTTATTCTGTCTGTCCAAACAGAAAGAGTTTAGTAACATTTTGAAAACAAATAAGACCACCATACATTGTCTTATTCTTTGTAGAAATTATGTTATATATAACATAAAATATACATGTCTTTTACATACTGAGAGCTAATTGTCTCAGTGAGTTTTTACTGGAAAAAGATGGTCAAAAGCTGTAACCTGAAATGCAGTAAATGCAGGTCCTGGCTGTTATGTGGAACTAATGACATGGATGACTAATGACAGTGGATTTTGTTACATTGTTTGTTTTTTGTGGTTTCAAAGTTGGGAACTGCAACTTATAAGTACTAGAATTACTCAGCATAAAATATGTTATTTAAATGTTCATAAGTGGTTTTAACGATTAATAAAAGTCTATTTTCATGGCTGTATGCTCCAGGTTTGACAGTGAGGAGATGCTTGCTCTAACGCAGTGTGACGAGCTCAGCCGAGTGTACTGTGAAGACCACAGACTGTCCCATCACGCCACCTGCCAGCAGAGTCCTTCTCCAGGCTCCACTGTCCAGGAGGTTCCAGCTCAGACCAGCGAAGCCCTCAAACACAGCCCTAGACCCTCCAGACTGCTAGTGAGAGAGGAGCAAGACAGCCCTAGACCTCTGGGGAGAGAGGAGCAAGACAACTCCAGACCCTGCCGACCGGTGGCTAGAAAGGAGCAAGACAGCCCCAGACATTCCAGACTGCTGGGGAGGGAAGAGAAAGACACCCCTAGACCCTCCAGACCGCTGGGGAGAGAGGAGCAAGAAGTCGCCTCTATTGGCTATTGCCCCAAACAAGTAATACGTAAAGTTAGCCAGGTGTCTGTCACTGACGCCGCGACTATAACAGCGTGGGAGGCCAGCTGGAATGTGACCAATGCTATCCAGGTAAGCAGCAGTGGCTTTCACAACCTATTTGAGTTTGGAGCGATACTTCTTGTGTTTAGGGGCAAACGGACGTTGGAGTCCAGGTCGAGTCTTTGTTTTTCTCTCTATCTTTTTATGTTAATGGTTATGGATAAGTTTTCTATGAAGCCAATCCATGCTCTTGGAGGAAAAGCGAAGATTGCAACAACACCTCCTCAGGGCAAAACCGAACCTGTCTTTGTAAGAGAGCTGCACAGCAAATATACATGCTGCAGTAGATTCATCACTGTGAATGTTGGAACCCTAATGGCTCACTACCTTTATTGGTTTAGCAGTTCACTGTATCACAGATTTATATAAAAAAAGAAGATATTTGTTGCACTACTAGATTATATTGTATTTTGTACTTTTAAGCTAAATACTGTATATAGATTATATGTTAATTCATTTTATAATTTTAACAACAGGTTAAGAGTTGTGCTGTGCTTATTATCTTGTGTTGTGTGCTCCTTATTCCTATTGTTTTGTAACTAGTGATGCAACACTGAAATTTCCCCATTGTGGGAAGAATTAAGGATCTCTTCATCTTAATCTTAAAGGAGCAATATGTAATATTTGCATGTCAAGTCATCATTAAATGAGCCGAATATTTCAAAAGGCATTAATAAATCATGTTCTTTTCAAACACATCTTTAACTGATAACAGTAGTTCATCCGAGATATTTGAATATCAAAATTAGTTTTACGACCCGTAAAAGTTGTTATTGTTTTGATTTTGATGTCCTACCCTCCGCCGTTTCGCCAATGAGGAAGTGCCATGTAAGTCCGTGATCGGGTTGCCAGAACTCCGTGCGGAGTGTGGAAAAATATTCATTTTTCACTAAATCTCAAATGTACAAACACAAGGCTCTGGCCTTTGATTGGCCTTCTGCTTTGTCTCCTCAACCCGCGGTCCCTGAGTGAAATTAATTTGACAGCGTTGTTATTCACTCAGCATACATGTGGTATTGAAAGATTTAAAAGCCATTTTTCAGTTTAATATTCTAAAAGCGCTTGTTGGCCTTCATCCTCCACACATCACCAACGCAACCTCTTTTCCTTCTGATACAATCACAGGACATTCTGCAAGTCAGTAACCTTTGTAACAACTCTTTTGTGCAACAAAGTATTCAAAATGTTTTATTACAGGAGAATCCTATTGTGGCTGTGGGAGCGCGTCCTTGAGGTGAATAGAGCCCAGTACACAACACAACATTATGAAAGTGCATGTTAAAAACTTAGCTGTAGAAGAGACGAAAACAATATTTATTTTCTGTGATGCCTGTGTTTAAGTTGTAATATTGTTTATTTTAAATTACTTTTTATTATTATTGTGAAAGGTAGTGTAACACTGTAGTGTTGTAGAATGCAGGTGAGCTTCAATAACAAAGCCAGACAGTCAGTGTGGGTCCAACAGCCCTATGGCATCTTTTATTTACATTACATAAGTATATTAAAAACAGCAAATGGGACTATTGAACGGAAACAGTGAAACTTGAAGCTGGGGTGAGGGGCAGTCTATATGAAAAGCAAACACAAAAGTAAACAGAAATCCATCCCCACAACAGAAATCACCATAAACATACATGTGCCACCTACACCAAAACTACAAAGCCACCACTTAAAGTGAGCCTTGTCACCCCAGCTATCAACAAAGTAACTCTACACAAACTAAAATAAGCAACATCTAAATATAAAGTAAACGGCAACCAGCACTGGGCCTATGAATAAAACCCAGTGCAATTAATAAAATGAATTATAAAATACAAACACGATTTATAAAAGCATACCTCAACAAGACAGGACTGTTGTAACCCTTAAAAGACATTAACAAAGTATTTTTAAAATATACAATCAATACAAATATAAAAACATTCTAAACACTTTCAGCTCACCAGAGTCTGATTGTGAACAGGCTGGCTCAGGAAGAGGAAGTGAGCCCTGGTTGCCTGTCTTTTAAAGCCTTGGTCATGTGACCAGGCCACACCCATGACCACACCTACACCTGCCACATATACCCCTGGAATTTGAATCGACGTCCCGTCGAAGTCTTCAAAGCCAGGGCCTATGAAAAGTCACCTTAGGGGAACCTGCACACACTTGTGACAACCCCTTTTGTATGAGCGGTCCTGGCAGGTTATATGGATTGGGATGTTGGCCGGCTGTAGTCCTTTGAGAGCGGCGCAATCCTATTGCTAGAGGAGTGGCAGCTTTTGACACCATAGCAGGAGGTCCAGGCTCCCCAAGTATTTGAGTCCTTTCAACAGGATGATGTTCCAGTGCAGGAGGTTCCGGCTGTACAGGCATTTGAATCCTTTCAGCAGGGTGTTGCTCCACTAACACAAAAGAAATGTCAGAATCATCATCCTGTTCAGTTAGCATTTGTTCAGGGAACCCCAAATCTGGTATTAATTCAGTAGTGTTTTGGGTGACTTGAGCAGGGCGAATTTCTGATCTGTGAATGTGTTTAGATTTTCCTTTACCATCTGCTGTTGTCACAGTGTAAACAGATCCACCCTCTGCTGGACTTTGAAGCACCTTGTACAGCACTGGAGACCAGTAGTCTTTTATTTTGTGACGACCTTTGTGACTATGGTCACAACAGTAAACCAACTGGCCAATCTGCAAGACGTCCGGCTTTACCTTGACATTGTGACGTATGGCTCGTCTTGTAGCGGCATGTTGTAATTTATTTCTTGCATCTTGGAAGATGTGTTCAATGGCATCTCGATGGTTATAGGTCCACTCTTCTGTGGTTTCCATCGTTCCCAACAGGCAGTCAATCGGCAGCTTTGGCTCCTGTCCAAACATTAAAAAATATGGAGATTGTCCAGTGGAATGATGTCTTGTTGTATTGTAAGCAAAAACTACATGGGATAAGTGTTTTGGCCACTGTTTTTTCTTGTCATGTGGTAAGGTGCGGAGCAAATCATGCAATGTCCTATTAAAACGTTCACACTGCCCATTGCCTTGAGGCCTGTATGGTGTCGTTCTGGTTTTTGTGATGTCATACATGTTGCATAATTGCTGAATTACTTTAGCTTCAAAGCAACGTCCTTGATCTGAGTGTAACTGGCCTGGAACACCAAAAATATGGAACCAGTTATTGACAAGAGCTTGGGCCACTGTATCAGCAGTTTGATCTTTTGTTGGGATGGCCTGCGTGTATTTTGAGAATACATCTGTCATTATGAGGACATTTTCATTAGGTCTTTTAGCTAGTAAATGTCCCATAAAGCTCCGCGGATGTAAGTTTCCCTTTTTTGACACTGTACAGTGTTCACAATCTCTGCAATAGGCTTGAACAGTTTGGTCCATACCTGGCCAGTAGCAACGTTTTCTGATGAGGTCTAGGGTGCGATCTACCCCCTGGTGACCATGTTGGTCGTGGGAAAACTGAAGAGCTTTGAGCTGCAGGCATTGTGGAAGCAACAGCTGATGTGTTGGTGGCCCTCCCTCTGGTGGCGAGACTTGCCTGTACAGAATGCCATGTTTTTCGACAATTCTGTCCCTTTGCCTCACCAATTTCAGGACCATCGGGGACATCCTCATCCTTTCATGTCGGTCTGGCTGGTTACCACTGTCCCAAAAGACACGGAATTCCTTAAGTGAGGGATCCTCCGCCTGCAAAACCGAAATGTCCGTGTCTGGAGGCCAGGGTGTTACAGTCATTGCTTGAAATACACAGGTGTAAGGGGTGTCTGTGTCACTTTTCAGGGCACCTCTAAGGCTCAAAGGCAGGATTGTAGTGGATGCCACAGATGCTTTTTGTTCAGATGTGACATTTTGTCTTGACAGCGCCCTGGTTTATATTTGATGTCTAAATCAAAACATGCAAGCTCAGAGGCCCATCTCTGTTCTACTGCCCCCAATTTAGCCGTCTGTAAGTGGCTGAGTGGATTATTATCTGTATGTACAACACATTTGTGACCTAGAAGATACTCTGAACTTTTCTGTGACAGCCCACTTTAGTGCTAAAAATTCCAATTTCATTGAACTGTAATTTTGCATATTTCTTTCAGTTTTTCTCAAACCTCAACTAGCAAAAGCAATGGGACGAATTTTACCATCACATTCCTGTGACAATACTGCCCATAGGCCATGATGGCTAGCGTCCACATCCAAGATAAAGGGCTTGTTGAAGTTTGCATATGCCAACACTGGAGCTGTTGTAAGTTTGGTTTTGAGAGTTTGAAATGCTGCTTCACATACCTCAGTCCAGAGATGTTTTACAGTAATTTTCTTACTGTTCCTGTTCTTCGGAGACAGTTCCGCTGCCAAGTTATTTAGTGGTCCTGCAATTTGTGCGAAGCCAGGGACAAATCGTCGGTAGTAACTGCAGAACCCAAGGAATGATTTCAGTTCTTGGACTGTTTCTGGACGCTTCCATGTTGCCGCAGCTGATATTTTAGCAGGATCCGTTGATACCCCCTTTGTTAACTACATGTCCAAGATATTTCACTTGATGTTAAAAAAAAACTTTAGTTTGATCTTAAGGTTTTCCTTTTGCGGCAGCTCAGGACCATCTCCAGTCTCTGCAGATGCTGTTCAACAGATGTAGAGAAAATTATTACATCATCCAAGTATAATAACAAAAACTGGAAGCTTTGATCACCAAATAATCGTTCCATCAGCCTTTGAAATGTGCTTGGGGCGTTGCACAACCCAAAGGCCATTCTATTAAATTCAAAAAGACCAAAAGGTGTGCAAAAAGCAGTTTTAGGTTTATCACTTTCTGCAACTGGCACCTGGTTATATCCACTCGCCAGATCCAAAGTAGAAAACCATTTGGCCCCAGAAAGAGCATCCAATGATTCCTCTATCCGTGGTAAGGGATAGGCATCTTTTCGTGTTTTGGCATACAGTTGTCTGTAGTCGACACATTCTGAGTGAGCCATCTTTTTTTAAAACCAAAACTAAGGGGGCAGCATATAGACTACAGCTCTCTCTAATTACCTGTGAGTCGATTAGTTGTCTGATATGGGCCTTAACCAGTTCAAACTGAGATGGAGGAATGCGGCGATAACGCTGTTTCGTCGGTACATCATCAAGAAGAGGAATGTGATGCTCAATGAGTGATGTACAGCCTAAATCTGAATCGTTCTTGGAAAACACTGTTGAGTATTGCGTGAGCAGTTGCCTTACAGCATTTTGGTCTGTATGAGTTAATGCAGACAAATCTACAGCGTCAAAATCCATTGGATGCTCATTATTGGCTGACACCTGAGAACATGTCACTGTGACTTGCCCGTGCCCATCACTAGCCTCTGAACACAACAGAGGATGCATTATAATCGACAACGGACACATACTGAAGCAGACCTAGAGTCACTCTGGGTTGAATATAAACAGGCTCTCTGCTTATGTGGGAAAGTGAACTTTTAACAAGGACTTTTAACTGCTTTTATTTGTGTGATGTGCTTTTGTGTGTTTTTATATTTTTAATGCATGGATTTTAATCACAGTTCCTTGGACACTTCCCCTAATCCGCACCTGTTTTAATCAAGACCGGTGAGGCGCGCACTGATAGCGCACTGGCGCGTGCGCGCCCGGGCTAGGCCCACCGAAGACCGGGATGTGCCGGCTCTTCCCCGCGGGTGCCCGGTGGCGACCCGTGGTCTGCAAGGGGCTGGCGGGACTGCAGCCCGGTCCCGGGACGGAGAAGGGCCTGGAGGGAACCGAGGAGGACATCGGTGCCCAGCGGACTACGGGTTTTATCGTTTTTTAATGGGCCTTTTGTAAATATTTTATTAAATTTTATCCCCTTTTTATCCGGTTTTATTGATTGATCACACCCCCTCAACAGACACTTTTTAACCTGTGACACTTACATTAGACACTGGAACATGTGCCAGTCCATTTTTACAAGACACTAATGATGTTGAGATCAAAAGGCCAGCGGGGAGGTGGTTAGTGATGTGATCTTGCTCTAACAGTAGTGTCTGTGTGGTGTACTCTTTACCTTTTGGGCCGGTAGCTGGGACCATAACAGTTTTGCCTGCAGGGATCAAGAGTGGTCCAGTAGATTGTACCCGCAGTTGACCAGCAGCCCCATCTCCAGTTTCCAGCAGGTGGCACTGTTGAAGAGCTTCTCTCCAGCCAGGAACTGCTTGTGCAACCTCAGGGATGGTGAACATTGCAACGCCATGCTCCCTGTAGCGGTTGTCATAGAGTCTCTGAATAAT